ACGTTTTGAGCAAGGACCACGCAGTCCTGCGGCGCCCAGGAAAAACACGTCCGCAAAGACGCGCGTCAGGTGCGCCCCGCCCCGACCCGAAGCGGCCCGGGCCAGTGGAACGACGCCGCAAAAGCAAGCCGCCCGGTGGCGGCGAAAGCAGGGCCCCGTCGTGAAGGCCGGCCCTCGTGTTTCTGTGCCGTCCGCGTGGACGCGCAGGCTTCGTTTAGTCCCCAAAACCGAGGCGGAGAGGCCGCGCCGCCAGTCCGGGTGCACGGGAGCGCGCAGGGCGTCCGGGCGCCAGGAGGACGAGAGGGAAAGGCCGAGGGCGCTCAGAGCGCGGGGCTCCCAGCGGAGCCGGTGCGCTGGGGGTCCGGCCCGGCGGGCGGCGGGGCCGGTGGGGACCGGAGGCGGCCCGGCCCGCGGCAGGACGGGCGAAGCTCGACCGCAGGGTCAATGGTCCAACGCATTTCGCGGTCAGGGTCAAAGCGCACCCACCGCCACGGCCGCCCACGGTCCCCGGCATTCTCAGACGAGAGACGTGACCTTAGAGAACACCTGGAGTTGTGGAAGAATAATTTTTGTTCCGGCCCAGGGAGAACCTAGACAAAGTTCTGGCGCGGAGGGGAAAAGAAAAAAAAGGAGGAAAAGTGACACGTGCCTCCCCGTCGGGGAATCGAACCCCGGTCTCCCGCGTGACAGGCGGGGATACTCACCACTATACTAACGAGGAAAACCGCGGACGGGCGTGCGAACTCAGGGCCTAGGAAGCTACTTACAGGTTTGCGCGCATTGACCAAGGTGGCTTTTCGGTGTGCAGGCCGCGTGACAACCGAAACGTAACGGGAGTCAGACAGAAATGCAGATTTCTTAATAGCCACGTTAAAAAGTCAGCAGAAACAGCGAATCATTTCCGTAATCGACCGTACTTAACCCAGCATATGCAAAATGTCGTACACATTAATTAGATTTTGTTCTTACTGAGTCTTCACACAGGCATGTGCGCTACACTCACACACAACACAGCTGAGCTGGGAGGGTCATTTTTCAAGGGAGAAGCTCGGTCCGAGCTTAGATGTCGCCCACTTGTCGATGAAAGGAATGGGCTCGAACGCCCGAGCTGCTCCTGACGTGCTCAGAAATCCCCAGCAGATGAACTGAGGGTGAGTTTGAAGCTTTCTACTCATTCAATTCAATGAACAAACTGCACTTGCTGGGACGCTGGGCTTCCCCTCCGAGCTCAGCGTTTGCAAAATGACAAATAGGGAAAGAATGAAGCTGGGGTGGTGCGAGGAAAAAGTTGCGTTGGCCGGGAATCGAACCCGGGTCAACTGCTTGGAAGGCAGCTATGCTCACCACTATACCACCAACGCCACATGGCGACGCTTCCCGGAATGCTGTACATAAGTGCAGTGCCGGCCGTGCGCCCTCCACACCTGCTTCCTGGTGTCCTGTCTGTGACCGCGAGGCGCCCTCTCCGCAGGACGCGCTCCGCCCACGCTTCGCCTGTGGTCTCCGCTGCGGGGCACCCCAGCACTGGGTCCCCCGGGGCGTCTCACCTCAAGGAAGATTTGGGGCGGAAGGTCGAGGGAGACCGCTGGCAAGGTACCCACCAGGCGCGGATCGGCCCCACCGAAGACGGGGCTCGGGGAAGAGGAGTCTTAACCGATCAGGAAGTGCTGAGGCAGGAGGAAATAGGAAAAAGGGCTTGGAGGCAGTTTTACTTTCCCTTCTTGGCTGAAGAGTTCAGGGACGATTCTATTTTATGTAAAACTATACGCACTGAGGCATCCTGACGTCATGACACAGCACTCTAAGAAAAATTTAAAATTAAATAAGAAAAAGAATATTTTCGGGGTCAGGATGGCCGAGCGGTCTAAGGCGCTGCGTTCAGGTCGCAGTCTCCCCTGGAGGCGTGGGTTCGAATCCCACTCCTGACAGCGTGTGTTTTGTTTTTTTTCTTGCTTCCTTTTTGCCCCTCCAATCAACACACAGGAATTCAGGGAGAAAGGACTATGAATCAATCACCGCCTGTTCATCCTGCATATCTACCTGTGACAGTTGTGCTGCCCGGTAAATATACAATAGGACTTTTTTTTTTTTCTGTAGGCAGGGAGACTAGGCTATGAAATCTGGGAGCAGTTGAGACTAGTGTCCATCCCTGTAAAAATATTTTTTTCCTTTAGATTCCGGCTTTTCAGTGACTATTTATTGATTTCTTTATACGACGGCGACGCACTGAGCCTTTTCCATATACCAGGTACACCCCAGTAGGCCAAGACTCCTCTGACAGAAAGAAAAGGCTTCACCCCAGGGCCCTCCGTCTGCTGCAGTTGGCCAGACTTTCCATGCACAGGCTGGTGACAAAGCCTCAGGATCCCCGCCCTGACCCACTCCCACCACCAGCTCTGACTCAGTAGCCTTGCCCCATCACCAAAAGCAGGAAAGAACTTAACCAGGAGGAATGGGGTTGGGTGGAGTCACAAAGATAAAAGGCCTTGGAGTTGCTTGCTTCAACTCCTTTTTCCTGAAGACCGGGAACAAGCCACCCTCTGCTTTGGGAGCAGCTGGCTGTGGAGAAATCGTGTCCTTTGGGAAGAGGGGCAAACTGTCAAGCCAAAGAGGCTGGATGTGTGAGGTCCCTGAGTGTGAGGGTGGAAGGGCCTTTGGTTGATCAGTGGAAGTCTGCCAAACTGCATCTTTGTTATTTACTAGACTATGGCCTTGGGAAATGCCTTGGATTTTTCTGAGCCTTCCTTTGCTTGCAGTAACGTGGAGGCACAGTCTCTGTATTAGTGAGGTAACGTGGTAGCGCATTAGAAATGTATCTCTCGAACCTCGGCATCCGCGTTATAAGACCCCCAGGTGTCCCAGATGAGTATTAAGCATGGCTGACCCTGGGCTATCCCCTCTGTCTTTGCGTGGGTTGACATTGAACTTGGCCCATCCTGTCCCTGCTTCTCACCAGGCTCCCTTGACTCAGGATTATGTGAGCACGTGCACTGTCAGACCCTGTGCTTAAAACAAAGGCCTAAAAAGTCAAACTGCAAAGTGTGGACTGCAGACGACGGTGGCGCGCTCCCAGGAGACCAAAGAAAGCAGGTGGGGTTGGACCTGAGCCACGTGATCGAGGCAACGCCTCCAGTGGTGAGCCCTGGGGACTCCCCAAACTGGCGGGTGCGGTGCGGCGAGCCGGCACTCGCCCCGGGCCACCGTTCCCACACACCGGTCGCATCACCAAGAAAGCCAGAGGAGCGCAAACGGAGGGCCGGGCAGGACCCCGTGTGGACTCGGCGGCAGGGGAAGCCCGCGGCTCGGACAGCTTTGGAAGCTTGTTACTAATCCCACCAGGAGTTTAGTCGTTCTGTTTTAAAGTCGGCGCACCGTTTGGCCTGGAAACAGACGGGCAATCTAAAAGGGGACTGGAAAGGGGTGGACCCCAGAGACGGGACGAGGAGCAGACCGATACTGCAAAAAACGTGGCTAGTGTGCGCATTGGTGGTTCAGTGGTAGAATTCTCGCCTGCCACGCGGGAGGCCCGGGTTCGATTCCCGGCCAATGCATGTGAGCCCTTTTAGGCTTCGGGTTTTTTTTTCTTCCCTTCTCTTTTTCTTTCTTTTTTCTTTTCCCTCCCCTTACTGCAAAGAACTTCTGACACTGAGCTCAATGAAGCCAGTTGGCCGAAAGCTGGCTTCTCAAAACAGCTTCCCTCTCCATCACCAGGACGCTTGCAGAGGAGTGGGGACCTGGCGCAACCCCGCGGCCCTCGGGGATAGGAGGCAGTGCGAGCACAGAGCACCCCGAGGGGCTCGGGGGCCTGTCCCCTCTGTTGCCGAGCCCCAAGGCGCAGCTCCAGCAGACCTGCGGCCTCAAGCTCTCTGTCCTGTACCCGTGACATCCAGTGTGAACTCGGGGGTTCTGCTTAGCGTCAGCGTCCGCTGAAGAGCCAGATGGAGGCTTTGGGGACACCAGACCTCGAACAGGAATGCAAGGGCGCAATCGACGCGCTTGGGTCTGGAACCCTCATCTGGGGAAGCTCTGCACCTGTGTGCGGGGTCTCTGTCCTGCAGCTTATCAAGGGTCTTCATTTAAGGGCGACTGTTATGTAATCTTTGTATTTGCCCGATTCTAGGGAAACTACTACTCTTTTTAAAGAGACTCCAAAATCCCTTGCTCCTCAAGTGGCTCTTTTCTCCTCAGATGGCTGGGAAGCTTCCGGAAGCTGCAGGGCCTTGAAGGAGGAAGACAGACTCAGATCTAGGCAGGGTTCTGCAAGGGCTACCTCCATCAATCTCAGCTTGGTGGGAGTTTTTTGTTTGTTTTTGTTTTTGTTTTTAAGTTGCTGGCTTTAAATTCATTCACTCTCAGGGTCCAGGCTGGCCAGGCCTGGGTGTCACAGTTGGGACAGTTAGCCTAGGGCCTGCAAGAGGAGGGTCCCAATTCAGAAGGGGAAGGGTGGCCTGGCCTGGGGGCTGTGACCTGGCCTGTTCAGCGACTGCCTGTGCAAGCTCCCCCGACATCCCCGCGCCAGCCCTCAGCAGCCCCAAAAACCCACCAACCCACCCAGCTGAGAGCTCCAGGTAGAGCCCTAAAGCCAGCCGCTGTGAGGCCGGGCATGGACCAGGCACCACGCTCCTCCACTGTCGCTCCCTGCCCTACCTGTTCCTTCGGAGGCTACACATCAGCACACCTGTTCATGCTGAGGGACTCAGTCTGAGCATCTTGACAAACAGGCCAGAGGATAAGAGTGATGACTTACATACACATTGTGAAGTGGGCGGGGGCAGGGCAGGGGGGTTGGCTATGGCTGAACGCAAAAGCTGCAGAACAGAAGGTGGCCTGTGGTCCCAGACTGTGTATGGGAAGGCCTGGGACACAGCTCCCTGGACACCCTCGCACAAGTCGTCCCGAGCTTCTGGGCCACAGCTCCCTCGATGCTCAAATGAGGAGACTGGAGTACATCACGTCTAAGGCCTTCGTGGGCCTAAAATTCTCTACGTGCACTAAAGAAGTTACTCATTCCGTGAATATTTATTGAGTTCTTTACCATGTGCCAGACACTGACCCTGGACCGTAAGTATATACAGTAGTGGATTCTGACGGCAGGAGGGCTGGACAGTAAACCATTACACAGGTGACCGTACGGTGTATCCGTCGGTGATAAATACCATGAGGAAAAACATGGCAGGAGGGGGGTTGGGAGATGGTGGGGGAGTACAATCATACTGAACGAGCAAGGTGGCATTTGGGTCCAGGCCATGATGAGGCATGGTGAGCCATCTGTAAGAAAGAACATTCCAGAAACAGGGAACACCATAAGCCCTGGGCAGAAGTAAGACTGGTGTGTTGAAGGGGACAAGGAACAGCAGCGGCTGAGGCCAGAGGCAGGGAGGAGGAAGTTCAGGGGGAACCTAAGAACATCGCAGAGGCTCTAGCTTCTCGGTGCAAGAGGAAGTTGCTGTGTGGCTTTGGGCGAAGAAGTGACAGATGAACAATGAACACACAGTTCCTAAAGGTCAGTCACTGGCAGCTGTGAGAACAGACTGTGAGGAAGGCTGCCGTGGCCCTCCGAGCGAGAGGCCACGGCAGCTGGGGGCTGGCAGTGCTGGCGCACGAAGAAGTGGGCAGATCGCTGGGTTTGTTTTGAAAGTAGAAGCAGGATTCGGTGAGCTCTGTGTATTTGAGGAACCTCTGTCTAGGCCACGTGAGAACACAGTCGCTGGCAGTCCTGGCAGGGCTGGATGGCTGCGACCAAGCCTGGACCTTCGGGCACCCCCCCGCGGCCAGCCCGGAGCGGTGGGCTCTGAGGCCCACAGGCCCTTCCTGTGCAACGGGCCGGGCCCGGGCCGCTGTCCGGGAGGGGCTGGCGAGGGGGAGAGGTCTGGCCTGAAGAGGCGCTGCTGCTGGGACGCCTCAGGGTGACGGGTCATTTGTCCCCGAGGCTCTTGCTCCACATGACCTTGTCATCCTTCATGTCGCCCGTCAAGCTTCGAAGGTCTTTCCACACAGAGAAATACAGCCCCGTGTCCACTGCAAACAGGAGTCCCATCACCAGGCAGAACGCAATCTGGGGCCACGGCAGAGAGGGCTCTGTGACGGCTGGGGACGCCGGACCTATGGGAAGAGGCAGAGGGATGGGCAAGTGACAGCTGTTAAGGCAGAAGCGTGGGACCCGCCGTCAGGGCCCCCGGCAATCCCTTCGGGAGGTCCTCCGAGGGCCTGGTCGGGGCCGACAGGCCCGCGTCTGCAGGGCACCTCTTCGCCTCTGCGTCTTCCTGGGCAAAGCACTGGGCGCTTCCCCGGGGTTCACCCCGCGCACATCAGGGTGCAGGGGCGGTGACGGAAGTCAGGGGGTTCAGAACGCCCTCCCCGAGGGGGGCCGCCTCCGCTCGCTCGCTCGGGGGTTCTCTTCAGCTGAAGACAGTTGGGACCCTGCCGGCTCACAGGACACTCTCATCTGTCCCTCACAGAAGGTAACCACAGAGGGGCCTTGCCCCAAACAGCATTATCGCCAGAAACGACGTCTTACGGCCTATCTGGGGGCGGGGACGCTGCCAGCTGCTGAGTATCTGCTCTTCCTCTCATCCTGCCCGGAGCTTCCTCCTCTCTCGGGCGCCGGGTCTCTTACCTCACCCTTCGCTCATCACGGCGTCCTCCCCGCATCACCCCTTTCTGTCCCTGCCCCTCCGGGCGCGTCTGTGGGGTCCCCGGATGCACATATGTAATTAAATGTGCTCAATTTCTCGTTGACCTGTCTCGTGTCAATTTGATGATCAGACCAGATGGAAGGGTCAAGGACGCTCTCCTTCCTCCCCCACAAGGTGACAGAGGAAACGGTTTTGTGGACGTGGAGGTTTCGTAAACGCCTTATGACACCCTGTTTTCTTCACAACAGCGCCTCCTGCAACCTCCGCGTCCATCGGGACTGTGAAAGCCGTGCAAGGTGCTCCGTGGCTGGGGCCCAGCCGTCGGGGACGGTGCACTCGGGAACCCACAGACCACATCAACGGCACCTCGCTCACCAGCTCCCACGCCCAGGGCTGGGTGCGGCTCACTAACTAACCCCAGCCAAGCGGCAGTAGCCTGCAGCGCCCCCTGAAGAGGCGCCATCCAGGTATTACAATGCACTGCTTCTCGTCCGCAGACTCCGGACCGGGGAGACCGCTAGGTCACGTGGCTGCCCTGAGCCACGAGTGGAGTCTCAGCTGAGAGGGCCTGTAGTGGGCACCCGCGGGCCTCGGGGTCCCACAGACAGAGGGACACAGGACAAAGTGGAGTGGTTTGAATGGGGTGGAAAGAGAGGTTGGGGATGTCCTGCTAGATGGATCTGAGGGGATGGGAAGGTGGCTTTTGTCCCTTGAGAGTTCAAACTCCAGCTGAATGACACCATTTCTGTGCTCCCCTGGGAGTGGGCTGGAACAGAACCGCGGGGCCACCCAGCACGCAGGTTGGGCCAGGACCCCGTGGGTTCCCCTTGATGCCCACCCTACCCATCCTTCCAGGCCTGAAGCTCCTTGAACAGCCCTGGTCCCCACCTTGGACAGTGATGCTCACAGAGTGGGACTCGTGCTTCATTCTCCCGATGAATCCGGAGCAGTGGTACGTGCCGCTGTGACTGACGTTAGCGTGCGGGACGAAGAAGCTGGAATTGGCAGGGGAGTACTGCCTGTAGACGCCGTCCTGGAGGAACTGGATCTTGAACAGAGGCCGGTTCTGCCAGCTGTGGCACCTCAGCATGAGGGGGTCGCCCTCCTGCAGCAGCAGGCTTGGGGTCTGCAGCAGCAGCCAGTCTGAAGGACACAGAGGGGAAGGGAAGGCGCTGAAGCCGAATGCCTGGGGCTGCAGTGCTCATGGAGGTGAGAAGATTTCGGACGAGCAGTGAAAGATGCTTCCTGGCAGGTGGGTGTTCCCTGCGAGTCTGCAGGACCCATGAAGGATGGAAGTCTCCAGAGGTTTCAGATATAAAGAGTAGGAGCCCACTCCCCAGAGGGAGACGGGGTGAGGCAGGGAGGAACTGAGCCCACTGCACTGGAGTGGGGAAACTAGTGCCTTTCGGCGGCGGCAGCACTTACGGAACAGGACCTGAAACCCTTGTTTGTGTGGACACAGCATTTACGGTCTGGGGATGACTAGCGTAATGGCGACTTCTGACCAAGATTTCGGAAGTGAGGAAGCAGCCAGCAGAGGCCTGGGAAAGCCTCACCCACCCCGAGTGGAATCTTCCATCCACAAAAGCAGTGAAAGTGTGTGACCTTTTGAGTTCAGCATTCGGATGGGACTCTGAACAGGAAGAACACGTTCAAACAGGCTTTTGAACGTGAAATCGCCCTTGTGCTCGGCCACCAAACAACCCCCGCTCCCAGCCACCCCTCCCTTCCCTGAGGGCAGAGCGATCAGATTCCGGAATTCAGGTGCTTTGGAGGAGGAGTCTATAAGGAATGTCCTCCCAAAACCTGTCTAGGAAAAAATCCACTTGCTCTAATTGCTGTTAAAATAAGTACTATAATTTATTACACCTCATTTAAATGAAAACCTTTAAGAAAACCATATTCTGAATATGAAGGACAAGGTATAGTTTGTTTGTTTTTTATCAATTGATTTTAGAGAGAGAGAAAGGGAGAGAGACAAACATCGCATTGATTGCTTCTTGTATGTGCCCTGACCAGAGATCGAACCCACTGCCTTGGTACATCTGGGCGGTCCTCTGACCCACCCAGCTACTGGCCAGCGCCAGAACAAGGTGTAGTTGGTAAGACAGCTCCAGACAGAAATCTGAAGTCAGGGATCTGATTTTGGCTTTTACCATTAACTTCTGGGCTCTGAGATCCCCTGGGCTTAATTCCTTTGTACAATGAAGGGGTCAGACCAGGCGGTTTCCCTCTAACCGCCCTTCAGACCCAAATTTTTTTAAATCCCAATTTTTCTGGACTTCCGGGCAAGGCAGCAGCACAGGTAAACGTGGCTCGCCTCCTCCCACAACCACATCAAAACTACAACTAAACTGCAGAACAGCCATCATTCAGAACTGCCTGAAACTAAGCTGGACGGAACTCCTACAGCTAGGAGATCCAAGACGAAGCTATGGGGGACTGGTAGGGGCAGTGGGACCACGAGACTGGCTGGTCCCGCACCCCTGTGTGACAGGTAAAAATCAGGGGGGATGTCTCGACTGCAGAGGTCCCCGCCCCACGCTGGGTCCCCCAGCTCAAGATTCCAGGGCCAGGAAGAGAAGTCCCCATAACTTCTGGCTGCAAAAACCAGAGGGAGATGTGGATGAGACTGAGGTTCCTGGGGTCCCAGGCAATTCCTCTTAAGGGACCCACACATGGACTTACTTGGACTCAGCCCCTCTGAGCTCCCGCACTGGGGCAGCAGCTTGAAGGGCACCAGAGACACACAGGGAGGAAGTGAAGTGTCCACATCAAGGCAACAGCTGGCAGAAGAGCGGGCAGAGGCCAGCATTCCTTTGATGAGCCCTCCCCTGCCCCACCCCCGCAGAGCCAGCTGGCAGGCAGGTGGCTTAACCCAGTCTCCATCAATCTGGCTCACACTGTTTGCTCCATCCTGGTGATTCCCTGAGACCCTGCCCCACCCAACTGTGGGGCCCACCGAAGCTGTTTCCGGTGGCTTTTCCATATGAATGGCTTGTCTTGGCTCATGCTTCAGATTTTCCTAAAATCTCTCAAACAAGCAACATCTGGCCTAGGCATGCCCTGTACCTCTTTCTGAATGGCCCCAGGCCCAGCACTAACAGAGGGCCTCGCCTGGGCACCCCCAAGCCCAGCACAAGGAGCAGTCATCCGCAGATCCCTCTGTAGCCCATGCCCGGTAGCCCCGGACAGAACACAGGTGGTGGCCAACCTGGGCCTGCACCTCCCAGGGGACCACATAGCCAGCACACCCAGTGGGCAGTTTCAGTCCACGTCAAAGCACCACCACCCAACCACCTCCGCAGTCAACACACGCAAAGGGCGAACTGAGCGGGCACCAGAGCCCGGCTGAAGTCCGTCCTGCTCCGCGGGGTGGGCCCTGCCCAGCTGATGCTCCACTGTGGTCAGTGGTCCCACGAATTGGCCTGGGGGGTAAATCCCTCCCATTGAAGCACAGACAGCAATCAAGTCTCGGCTACAACAAGAGGGTGCTGTGTCCACCCCATGTGCCTGAGACAGGAGAGTGAGAAGCTAGGAGAATTTGTGGGCAAGTGGAATGGGAAAACAGACAAGACCATCAAACAAGGCCAAAGACTTTGAGTAATTTACAGCAGGCAGGTGAATGGCAAGGCCTTATCTCCCCTAACCCTGACCCTAACCCTGACCCTAATCCTCCCTGCCATACACGGCATGCTCCCATCCTGGAAAGACAGGAACTCTAGTGCAAATGGAGAGAAAACACCAGAACAAAGGAGCCCGCTTGGGAAGAAGCCACGTGACCACCCTGCCGGTTTCCTCCTCCCAAGAACAACAACGCAAGTCTCTGCTCCCCTTAGGAACTTCCTCCCAACTTCCCACGTCTCCTCTACATAAACTTACTTCTGAAAGCTTGAGGCAAGGTGGATGTTAGGGTTTTACCTGTCACCTTCTCAGACTGTGGCCTCTGATATGAGCAAAAGCACAGTGATAATCCCATCCCTGTCTCTGCTTTTTGGCCGGGCGGTGACAGGCAGCAGGAGCCCCCGACTCGGTGGCCCTCAGGCTTCAAGCCCTCGAGGCAGGGGGCGAGTGGAGGGGTGGGGAGCACACCTGCAGTGCCCAGGCTGGGTGTCTGAGGAGGTGGTGCCACTGGGCCCTATGGGACACCTACCACGCTGGGCCACTCTACGAGCCCAGGAGACATGGCAGCTCTGCCTAGCACATGGAAACAAGCATGGAGAGGCCGCCAGAATGAGGAGACAAAGAAGTATGAGTCGAAAGAACACAATGAAAGTCGAGAAAGAGAACTAAAAAAATGAAGACAAACAGCCTACCAGATGCAGTTCAAACCGTGCTCAGTGAACTCAGGGGAAGAGGAGATGAACCCAGAGAGAACTTCGCCAGCATGAGAAAGGACATGGAGACCATAAAAAAGAACCACTCAGAAGTGAAGGGTACACTGACTGAAAGGAAGAATAATGTACAGGGAATCAAGGGTGGAGTGGACGAAGCTGAGAATCAAATCAATGAGTTGGAAGATAAGGAAGCAAAAAACACCCAATCACCTGGCTGGCGTAGCTCACTGGATTGAGCGCGGGCTGCGAACCACAGTGTCGCAGGTTCGATTCCCAGTCAGGGTACATGCCTGGGTTGCAGGCCATGACCCCCAGCAACCGCACATTGATGTCTCTCCCTCTCTCTCTCTCTCTCTCTCTCTCTCTCTCCCTCCCTCCCTCCCTTCCCTCTCTAAAAATAAATAAATACAATCTTAAAAAAAAACAACACCCAATCAGAACAGTAAAAAGAAAAAAGAATTTAAAAGTGAGGAAAGTAAAAGGAGCCTCTGGGACAACTTCAGGCACACCAACACTTGCATCATGAGGGTGCTGGAGGGAGAAGTGAGGGAGCTAGACATTAAAAACCTATTTGAAAAAATAATGACGGAAAATTTCCCTAACCTAGTGAAGGAAATAGACAAACGAGTCCAGAAGCACAGACAGTCCCAAACGAGATGAACCCAAAGAAAGAGCCCCACTCTGAGACACGGCATAGTTCAAAGGCAGCCCTGGCTGGCGTGGCTCAGTGGATTGAGCTCCTGCCTGTGAACCAAAGGGTCTTGGATTCAGTCCCAGTCAGGGCACATGCCTGGGTTTGCCGACCAATGTTTCTCTCCCTCTTTTTCTCCCTCCCTCCCCCTCTCTGTGAAAATAAATAAGTCAAGTCTTTTTTAAAAAGTTATTTCTGGTGATAACTCTGAATTTAAATTATTTAAGGGAGAGGTGCGCGTTTCCAATGAACTGGCTGGTCTCAACTGCCTGCGGCTCAAAGTCATTCACATGCGAAGCAGCACACCTCGAGGAGGGCTGTTCTGAATCTCCAAGTGGATACTTACTCCCTTTTCAACGGAGCACCATCAGCAAAAAGTGGCTCCACCACCAGGACTTCTCTGAGACCAGAACCTTCAAAGACCCGAAACTCACCCTGAAGCAGAATTGCCACACGGCACGCTTCCAGGCAGCCCTCCTCGGGGTCTGCGCACCACCACCACCGAGGGGCCGCTGAGGTCCCAGCTGCACCACAGCACCAAGGTGCTCACAGCCGCAGACAAGGGGCGGGCCGGGGTTCGAGTTCGGGAGGATTTCTCCGCAGGTTCTACTAAGCTGGACACTCAGGGATATACTTAAGCCTGAGTCAGATCATGTGACTCTCTTAATTACAACCCTGTAACAAATTCTCATCTCACACAGGAATCCAAGATGGTCTCATTGCAACAATCCGAAAGCCCACCCCCACTTCCCACCTCCTCTTCCAGACCCCATGGCCCCCTGGCCTCCTGCACCCTCAGCAGAAAGGCTTCCTCAGGCATGCCCTGAGCACCCCACCTGAGGACCTGTGCCGCCTGTGGCCTCCGACCTCTGACCCCGGGGCTGAGCACAGTGCCAGGAGGGTAGGAGGGTTTCCTGGAGCAAAGGTTTCCTACTGCTTCCCTCACCCCCGCCCGTGGCCTGGCCTTGTCACCTTCTTGCTTCACCAGCACTGAGGCCAAGCACCCTCGCAGTCCTGGGGCACCCCGCATGGAAGCAAGGGGGGGCGGGGCGGGAAGGGAAGTGACTGGGCAGAATCGGCTTCCAGCGGCTCGCGGCCAGGCCTCCCAGGCACCGGCCGCCCCGCCCCCCGGCACGCGCAGCCCGGTCAGCAGGTCTCAGGTCCTCGTCCCCCAGACCCTCGCGGGGCGGCCCCACTGACCGGAAGTGACGTTCAGACGCACGGGGTCGCTGAGGCCGGTCTGGCCCGTCTGGCACCTGTAGTCCCCACTGTCGCTGAGGTTGGCTTTGAAGCTGAAGCGGGGCTGGACCTGGGCCGGGATGGGGGTCCCGTCCCTGGACCACTGGGTGGGGCCGTCCGCAGGGCCGTGGGGCCCCTGGCAGTGCAGAGTCACGTCGTCCTCCCGGAGCACGTTGAACCAGGGGGGCTCCAGGCGCACCACGGCCTTCGGGGGACCTGCTGAGGGGCGGAGTGCAGAAGGGGATGGGGTGACTGAGCTTGCAGGGGCCGCAGACTGCAAGGGCGCTCCCAGGGGCGCCCAGCGGCCAGAGTCCGCTACAGGCCCGAGCACGGCCGTGTGCTGCCTGCAGCCTCATCCCCTGCGTGCCTCTGGGTCTCTGCTGGGTCCAGGACGGATGTTACCACGGGTCAAACCCCAGGCCCCGCCAAAACGGGGAACCGCCTGGCCGAGCCCGAGCCCGGTTCTTGGTGGGACAGGCAACAGCCACCAGTGCAAGGAGGCGCGGGCAGACTCACCAGCTCCCCCGTCTGCAGCAGCTGCGGAGAGAAGAAGGTGCGTGAGTGCAGGGAAGGGGAAGCCGGGAGACCAGCTGTCGCTGCGTGCGGTTGGGGGGCGGGGCAGGGGCGAGCGTCCCAGCCCCTTCTTCCCCCAGGACCCGTCTCGGAGCCTGCTCCCCTCGATCTCGTAAGGCGCTCCCGGCTCGTGCCCTCACGTCACCCCTGTGGGGTGAACGTGGGTGTTTGGTAGGGACCAGCGTGTGGGTAGGAAGGCAGGGCTCTCGCTCTCCTTTCCATCGGGGGCCAGCTCCCAGGGCCCCGCTCCTCACCACCCGGGGCCCAGGGACTGAAACCGCCCCCCCCCAGACTGTGGCTCACCCAGCAGCAGCAAAGCCCACGCTGCCCGCAGGGGAAGCAGCCCCAGGCCACCGGCGTGCACATTCCGAAGCATTCCGGCCTTCCACGTCCACCCAGGACCGGGCCCGAGTCCAGCGGCGTTTCCGAGGTGAACTGGGGGAAGAGGAAGGAAACCATTTCGCTCGGCACCGCTTGCAACAGCCGCCGGACCCTCCCCGCTCCCGAATCCGCAGTAACAGCTCAAACCAGGAGCTGAGCCTGCTGCTCCGCGGACTCCCACTCGGCGAGTGCCTGGCAGGGGCTGGGGGAGGCCCGGGAAGCAGAGCTGGGGGGCGGGGCCCTCAGGGTGGGCTGTCGGTTCTGCGCCCCCCAGACACCCCTGCGCACCTCGGGGGGCACCCAGACAGCTCTCGATAAACGTGACGCAGACGAGGCGAGGAAACCCATTCCTGTCTGCAGCCAGTACACGACCGCAGCCAGGCGGAGTAGTCCTCTGTGGGAAACACTCAGCCCGAGAAAACCTGTAGGCACACCGCCGTTCTTCCTTCACCTGGCCTTCACACCCCCTTCCCCCCAGCCCTGCAGACGTGAAAGAAAGCTTTCAAGTTCTAGAAATAACTTTGTGAAGAAAGACGTCACTCCCAAGGCTGTGGATTCTGTGCGGGTGAGGTGGTTGAGCAGCGGGGTGTGGGGTTAAAGTTCAGATTGGGGGGAAACAATGGCAAAAACAGACAGATGTAACTGCACCAAACTTAAAACTTCCGCACGCCGGTCAACAGAGGGCACAGGCCACCCGCGGATGGGAGAAGACATTCGCAAATCATTATCTGATAGGAGCTTAACATCCATAATGCATAAAGAATTCCTACAAATCAACAACAATAAAAGCAAAAAAACTGATTTTAAAATGGCACGCCCATGCCTCTCCCTTCCCCTTTTTCCTCTCCCACAGGCTGCATCTCCTAAACTCTGAGGGACCCCACAAGACCTGCAACCAGGGGAGCAGTGGGCAGTGGCAGCCTGTCCCGGGCCCGCCCCCTGAACCGGGCCCCAAGGCCCCCTCCTCTCCAGCCCTCCAGTGAGCCGACAGCAGCCTGGCCCGGGCTCCCTCCCCTCCCATCATCGTGTTTCTAGAGAGCTGGAGTGGCCCCGCCGGTCTCCCCACTGTGGCTTCCTCTACTCCAGGTGCTGCCTTGTTTCACTGTCCCCAGCTTTAATAAACATTCTCTCGAAATAAAAAAAAAATAAGTAAAAGACTGGATTAGACATTTCTCCAAGTCAGATACATAAATGGCCAACAAGCAAAGGGAAAGACACTCAACATCACTAATTGTTAGAGACATGCAAATCAAAACCACAAGCTATCACCTCACGCCCAGTAGAATGGCCACAGAACAAAAGAGAAAATAACAATCGCTGGGGAAGCTGCGCAGAAACTGCAACACTTGTGTGCTGCTTGTGGGAACATAAAATGCTGCACCTGTTAGGGAAATCAGTAGGTCGGTGCTTCACAGAATTAAAGATAGAAGTACCGCAAGATCCAGCAACCCTGCTTCTGGGTATTCATCCAAAAGAATTCAAAGCAAGATCTCAAAGAGCTATTTGCACAGTTGTATTTCTTGAAGCATTTTTCACAATAAACCAACAGCTGGAAGTAACTCAAATGTTTATTCAGCCTTAAAAAATAAAATCCTGCCACATGCTACGACGCGGGTGAGCCTTGAGTACGTTGTGCTGCGTGAAACAAGCCGGTCAGAGAAAGCACGCACTGCCCGTGAACTGGTCAGAGTGGTCGAGCTCACAGAAACGGAAAGTGGTGGTGGTGGCCCGGGGCTGGGGGAGGGGCAGAGCGCCGAGGGCTGTTCTGCTGAGTGGGTCCAGAATTTCAGTTTCGAAGGATGAAGTTCTAGGACCTGCTGCACAGCAAACCAAACACTGCTGGCTGCCCTTTGGAAAATGGTTGGCAGTGAGTTATTATGTTGGTAACATAATCACATATGTTACATGTGATTCTTTTTTAAAAAGCACAGTTGACTTTAAAAAATAAAAGTCAGTCTGTGCTTGGATCTCAAACTTCGGTTTTCTCATCCGTAAAATGGACACTCTCTGGTACCAACTAAATATTTCATTAAAAGTAGCTTTTGCTTTTAGGAGTGCTGACGAGGGTTTTTAACCTTTGAATGTTTCTGGAAGCATGACTCTCCTTCCCCTCATGACCGGAGCTCTATGATCTCATCTTTTTCTCTCAGTCAGAGCTCTTCCTGGAACGTTCAAGAACCTCGAAGTCCCCGGCCTGAACGCCTCTGTTCCTCTCCAGGCTTCCTGGCAGGCAGAAGTGTGGGCACCAAGTTTCGCTATTTGTTTGCAACCTGGCCTCTCACACGTACGACTGGGCTCTCTAGCTCTCAGACTTCCCTTATCCCAGCTTTCTTTCCAACGTCTTTTCTGATTGTCCCATTAGAATACCCGGAATTGTTAATTTCACGTGACCGCGACTGCTCTGAACAGCTGCGCCTCATCACTTATCCTACCAGAGTGCTACCACTGGACGTTGGTAGTTCGGGTTAGTATCGCCAAAATGCTTGCCAGCCACTCCCAGTCACCCTGGAAGCAGGGGACAGACTGTGGGCATCTTGCTTCAAAGTCGGAACTTAGGATAAACTGGTAGATTTCTTCTTTGCAACAAAGAAAAGAAACAAGTTCAGCATGACATCTGGTAACAGCTGATTCGAGCTGCTTACACTGGGATTGAAGGGCAGAATATTCATTTACAGAATCACAGGAATAAAATGCTGGAGTCCAAACCCTTCATTTTTATCCATGGTGAAACCATGGCCCAGCCCAGGGGTGAGTTGGCCCGGGACACACATATCTTAAGTGCTGAGGTTAGGGTCCTCGCTGTCTCCACTCCCTCGCCTTCACTTCCCACTCGAGACCTGAAGGTTATCATGTGCACCTGTCCAATTGTCTCAGTTATTTGTCTTTCCATAATTCAAGAGTAGCATCACCAGACTGAAAGTTTCTCAAGGCTAGAGACCCTAACAGATGCATGACACTTATCTTTGCTGAACTGAATACATGGGCATGGGAAGGCATGAATGTCTAATCTGAGGGGCCTCAATTACTGATTCTCTTATGCAGTAGTTGTCAGAGAGAAAGCTCAGTGTCCATGTCTCTAAAATGATACCTTGCAGGAAAATATTTCCCTAAAGTTTAGGTATTTTCTTTCTTTCTTTTTTTTTTTTTTCATTAAAAGTTGAGATGAGCCTGGCTGGAGTAGCTCAGTGGATTGAGCGCGGACTGCGAACCAAAGTGTTGCAGGTTCAATTCCCAGTCAGGGTACATGCCTGGGTTGCAGGCCATGGCCCCCAGCAACCACACACTGATGTTTCTCTCTCTCTCTCTCTTTCTCCCTCCCTTCCCTCTTTAAAAAATAAATAAAATCTTTTTAAAAAAAATTTTTTTTTTAAAAAGTTGAGATGAAAAAGTCCAGATAGGCTGCATCTGTACCAATTTACATGAGTCAGAACTTTAGTCCCTGAACTTCAACACTGTTGAGTACAGTCAAGATGATGTTTAGGTAGAAAACCCTCAGTGTAACCAGTACTAAGAGGCTCTGTATACCTTACAGAACAATGCCAATGTTGCATTGATTGACTGATTTTTGTAACATAGTATCTGTTCATCACTTTGCCCCTCATGGTAAAGTTAAGCAGGACAGCTGAAAGTGTGTTGGTATGTTGGCAGCAGGCTGGAGGTTCATGAATTTAAAGGGGGGATTTAAAACTGTTCAGGAAAGAGTATCAACTGTTCAAAGTCAGGGAATTCTTCCAAATAAATCATCAAGAGCACTTGTGGACTTCCAACCAAGATGGAGGCATAGGTAGATATGCTTTGCCTCCTCCCAAAACCAAAAGAAGGACAACAACAAATTTAAAAAGGGAAAACAGCCCTGGCTAGTGTGGCTCAGTGGATTGAGTGCTGCCCTGTGAACCAGAGGGTCCCTGGTTCGATTCCCAGTCAGGGCACATGCCTGGGTTGCTGGCCAGATCCCCAGTACAGGAGCAGCAAGAGGCAACCACACATTGAGAAGCAACCACTCACTGATGTTTCCCTCCCTTTCTCCCCTCTCTAAATCTTTAAACAACAACCAGAACCAGAAAATTGAACTGTATCAGAAAACTGAACTGTATGGAAGTGGAATGATTCATCCAGACCAGTACGAGGGGTGGAGAAGGGGTGGAGAGGGGAAGCCAGGCAGAGAAGACGTACAGCTGGAGGACTGGGAGGCCGGTAGCTGGTGAAGTGGGCAGTCCAACATTTGCACTGGCATTTGCATTGGGATAAACCTGGAGTGAGAAACAACTGGGAGGGAGACAGAGCAAGCAACCCAAGGCTCCAGAACAGGGAAGTAAATCCTCAAAACCTCTGACTGAAAAAATCTGTGGGGGTTGCGGTGGCAGGAGAAACTGCCAGCCTCACAGGAGACTCACTGGAGAGACCCACAGGCTCCTAGAGAGGAGAGCGAGCAGCGCTGCTCCCTCTCTGACCCCTCCTCCTCATACAGCGCCACAACACAGCAACGTGGGTTGTCCCGCCTTGGCTAATACCTAAGGCCCAGACAAGGGAATACAACCCAAATGAAAGGACAGATCAAAGCTCCAAAAATGGAACTAAGCCAGGAAGAGACAGCCAACCTATCAGATGCAGAGTTCAAAACACTGGTGATCAGGATGCTCACAGGAATAGTTGAGTATGGACACAAAATAGAGGAAGAAGGCTATGCAAAGTGAATTAAAGGAAAATATACAGGGGACCAAAAATGAACGGTAGGAAACCAGGACCCAAATCAATGATTTGGAACAGGAGGAAGAAAGAAACATTCAACCAGAACAGAACAAAAAAACAAGAATTTTAAAAAAATTTCAGAGAGCTAAGAAACCTCCAGGACAACTTTAAATGATCCAACATTCAAATCATAGGGGTGCCAGAAAGAGAAAAGGAAGAACACAAAATTGAACACTTATTTGAAGACATAATGAAGGAAAACTTTTCCAATCTGGCAAAGGAAATAGACTTCCAGGAAGTCCAGGAAGCTCAGAGAGTTCCAAAAAAGTTGGACCCTAGGAAGCACACACCAAGGCACATCATCATTACATAACCCAAGATTAAAAATGAGGAGAGAATCTTAAAAGCAGCAAGAGGAAAGGAGACAGTGACCTACAAAGGAGTTCCCATCAGACTGTCAGCTGATTTCTCAAAAGAAACCTTGCAGGCAAGAAGGGGCTGGAAGGAAGTATTTGAAGTTATGAAAGGCAAGGACCTACATCCAAGATTGCTCTATCCAGCAAAGCTATTATTAAGAATGGAAACGCAGATAAAGCACTCCCCAGATAAGGTCAAGTTAAAGGAGTTCATTGTCACCAAGCCCTTATTACATGAACACATGAAATGTTAAAGGAAGGGACTTATCTAAGAAAAAGAAGACCAAAACCAAGAACAGTAAAATAAGAACCAACTCACAACCATCAACAACTGAACCTAAAAAACAAAAACAAAAACAAAACAAACTAAGCAAACAACTAGAACAGGAACAGAATCACAGAAATGGAGGTCACACGGAGGGTTATCAGCAGGGAGGGAGAGAATGGAGGAAAAGGTACAGGGAATAAGAAGCATAACTGGTAGGTACAAAATAGACAGGGGGAAGTTAAGAATAGTTTGGAAATGGAGAAGCTGAAGAAATTATACGTACGACCGTGGACATGAACTAAGTGGGGGGATGCTAGTGGGAAGGGGGGTTCAGGGCAGAGGGGAATAAAGGGGAGAAAAAATTGGGACAACTGTAGTAGCATAATCAATTATAATAAAGAGCACTTGCAAGTCTGAGAGCCGGTTTACAGATAAAGGGGGAATTTTTAGGTGACTAACAAAGGCAACGCCCATTGCTGTTGGCCCATTGGAGACCGACTTTCCGCGCTCACTAGGGATGTGGGGCTGAGAGCCCTCCCCACCCCCCACAGAGGGCTGGGAGAGGAGAAAACCTCTTCCTGGTAAACCTGATGGGAGTGATTTGGGCCAAGCACATCTGTAGCGAGGGCAGCGCTGCCCTGTGGAGGACGGTGAAGGCTGGAGTCGCACAGCCAGACCCCGCGGGGGTTAAACAGGAGATGGATAACCGCCAGCTTCAGCGGGACGCCACTGTAACTTTCGCCCCGGACGTATGTGTCGGTGAGCTAGCCTGGGAAGGGAACAATCTGTGCCTGCAGCGTCTCCCAAAGTCCGCGAAACGTCCTCGAGCCGCATCTAACCAACCCCTAGGAAACAAAGGCGGAGCCCATGTTCAGGGCTCACTGTCTCTCCATCAGAGGACAACGTCCCAGCCGGTCCCCGCTTTTCCTTAAACCGTCTGTGTTGTGTCTTCTCTCCGTCTCCTGCCCACCCCACTCAGGAACCCCCACTCCGCGCTGGTCGCGGCACTGTCCGACAGAAATGTAACATGAGCCACACCTGCAAACTGTACAATTTTCTCGTAGCCACCTTTTAAAAAGCACAAAATAAAGTCGAACCACGAGTCGTCCCCTCCCCGAGGGGGACAGTCCCTCCAGCATGTATGAAGCTGCAAGCACATCCATTTCGCATTAATGTGTGGACACACCCAGATACAACGCAGGACAACCGTGGGGATGCGTCGACACCGCGGCAAGGCGGACCCTGCGAGCGCAGAGCGGGCCCCTTCCCTTCCCGGCCCTGCTCCGCGCTGGAAGAGCTCCTTTTCGCCCCCATCGCCCACTCACCTCCGGCGGGCCCCGTCGTCGCCCGAGGAGGAGACCCGGAGTCAGGTGCGGACTTCCCGGAGGAGGCGGCGGCCACCTGCGGGGAGCCGGCGCGGGGAGCGCAGCAGCAGCAGCAGCAGCAGCAGACGCGCGCGCGGTCGCGGCCCGGAGCCCGGCTTCCCCAAACCGCTCGCAGTTTCACTTCCTGCCGCCCTGCGGGCGCGCAGCCGTTTCCTGGCTGCGGGCGCCCTTCCCGGTTCCGCACCCGGGCTCGCCGCCGCCGCCCGTCCGCGTGTGTCTTGCCGAAAGACTTGCGCTCGTGTTCTCGCAGCCTGCGCCCTTCCCGGCTGGGGACGCGGCGGCGGGTCGTCTGACTCGGCGTCACGGCCGTCGCCCGCCCGCGGGTCCCGAGCGCGGCGCCCGCCCCTTGGTGTGTCCGCCTGCCCAGCACAGGGTTACATAAACTCGTTTCCTCCTCACCCACGAAGAACTTGGGGGAAAATGTCAAGTCAGTGGCTTACTCCCCTAGATGTGTGAGCCGCTGTCCCCGCCCCTGCAGCTCCCGACCGCGTCCTCGCCCCGCGGGCGCCCCGCCCCCGCCCCCCGCCCGGAGCGAGGACGCGGCAGGTGTCCCTCCCGGCGCAGGTGCCGCACCGCGCCCGCCCGCCCCCGCCGTCGCCGAGGCGGGGACCCCGGGGGCCCACGCCTCCCCAGGCGCCACGCCGCAGGGCCGGGAACGAGCTTGTTTTGTCCGAAATGGCCTCGCTCCGTCTTTCCGAAACCCAGGCGGCCGCCCCCTAGGGTGCCCAAGAGGGAAGAGTCGGGGCCTCTTCAGGATGGAGCATTAAAAAGGTTAAATGAAATTAAACTACAGTGATAATTTAGTGTACTTAACGGAATGGAGCCGTTTTCTAGGTCTGCACTGCAAGCGCAGTGGCTTAAACGACAGAAGTGGGTTGTCTCGCGGCCTCAGGGGCCCGAGGCAGCTCAAAGCGCCCCCAGCGCGCGGCGCGCTCGGGGGGTTCTGTCTCCACCTCCGCCCTCCTCGGCTTCCCGCCGTCTCTCCGCGCCCTTTCCGCGTCCTACACGGACGAGCGAGGCCAAAAGGTGGCGCAGGGTTGCGCCCGCACGCGGGGAGCCTGGCGGCCCCGACAGAACCCAGAGCCCCGGAGGAAGAAGACAGCGAGCGCAGGCTAAAATCGGGGCGCGGGCGCGCTGGGGAACCTCAGGAGGCGGAGAGGAAGCAAAGCAAGGACACAAAAACGGGTTTCCCTGACCGGGAATCGAACCCGGGCCGCGGCGGTGAGAGCGCCGAATCCTAACCACTAGACCACCAGGGAGTGCCTGGCATTACTTCTGGCAGACGGCTCTTCCTGCGCGAGGAGCCTCCAGGACGCCGACGCGGCGCTCCCCGGGGGCAGCCCGGCTGCCCCTGTCCACCCACGCGCCCCGGCCTCCCCCTGCCTGCGCGCCTCCCTGCCCCGCGCGCGCGCGCAGTCACCGCTATGAAAGGCACCTCAAGAGAGAAACACAAGAAGGGACAAGAGAGGGAACCCACAAAAACGGCCTAAGTTGTTGCGTGTAGCTGCCACTTGGCCAACTGCCCCGGGACTGACACCACAGGCTCAGGGGACCTCTCAGCGTCCTTGCGCCCGAAAGCTTTTGTTCTGTGGCGTTTTTCACAGACTTGACTTGGGAGTAAGTCCACACAGGCGGAACGCAATGACGGGGTTTGAAATCTGCCCAGGACCCCAGCACACCTTCATTCTGGAGCCTCGCAAAAACGTCAACCCTCTGCGTTGGCCGGGAATCGAACCCGGGTCAACTGCTTGGAAGGCAGCTATGCTCACCACTATACCACCAACGCGGCACGGCCGAGCGCACCCGGAGACGCTGACCGCGACCCTCCGCGCCGCCTCGGCCCTCCAGAACCCTCCCGGACGCCTCGCTCGCTCGCTCGCTCGCCCCAAGCTCCGCCCTCCCCTGGGAGCCACGGGCGACCGGCCCCGCGCCCCACGCGCGCCGGGCCCGCACAGCGGCCCTAGTGCCCCAGCCCGATCGCCTTCCAGGGGGCGCTCTGGCCCCCTGGCTGCTCCCGATCCCTCGGTTCCGGCCTGGGCCGCCCCGCGTCGCGCGTCTCCAGTGCCCGGGGTGCCACAGGCCCCTCCGCTGGTGCCGCCGCCCGCAGCCCCAGGGCGCTCACCCGCCTCCCGCCAGCCCGGGCGGTTGAGCGTCGCGTCGCCAGGAGCCCATTCCGCCAGCCACTTCGGGCTGGCCTGGTATCCCGCTGCGGCGGCAGGACCCCGCTCGGCTGCGGCCACAGTGCCCTGCGGGGAAGAAGGGAAAGGTGGGGGCGGCGGTATTGGAGGAGAACCGACATCAGTTGGAACCCGCGGCCTCCAAGGACGGAGGAGGGACAAGGAGAGGGACCCAAACGGGCGAGGAGCTGGACAGAAGGCTGGGCCTGCGACCAAAAGGGTAGCGTCGCCTCCCCGTCGGGGAATCGAACCCCGGTCTCCCGCGTGACAGGCGGGGATACTCACCACTATACTAACGAGGACGGCGGCAGTGACCTTTGACACCCGCCCATCTGTCGCCGCCGCCGCCGCCAGCACCTGTCCCGGGCGCCTGCCGGATGCGGGCGCGGGCCCATGCCTCACCCACGTAGAACCAACCGCGTCCTCCTAGGAGCAGGCGGCGAGCCCAACCCTGAACAAGCCCCCCGCCCCCGCCCCCGCCCCCCGCCCCCCGCCCCCCACCCCGACACGAGTGGCGCTGAAAACCCAGTGCGAGCTGCCTCTGGCCTGCAACGTGGAGAAGAGGGGTGCTCGCGTCCGGTCCCACTCAGGTGAGCGAGAAGCACCCAAGCGCACGGTCAGGACGGCCAAGCGGTCTAAAGGGCTGCGTTCCTGTTCGAATCCCACTCCTGACCCACTCCTGACAAGCACCCAAAATATTTGCACTCGCCCCGGGCCTGGGACACACCCCTCGCAGCCCTTCTCCGCCTTACACTTGCTCCCTGGCTAGGACCCGCAAACTCCGGCCTCTGCGCCCTCGGCGGCGGCCTGGCGTGGCAGCAAAGCCCAACCGGTGCTCCATCCCTCTGCCACAGGGCCCCTCCGGGCCAACACCGTGCCCCTGTCTCCCAACCGACCCGCCGCAGCGGGACCGCGGAAAAGACAGTCGGCCGGCGTGCAGAAGTGAGGTTCGCACACCTGCGGTCTGTCTCGTGGTCTGTGCGGGCCAGGGCCCTCTGCGTTGCCCCTCCCCCACCTTCACCCTCGGATCGCGGCCGGCTCCATCTCCCCGGTTTCCCCCACCCAAGGCCCTAATCGGGCAGGAAACACAAAGGCCCAAGAGAGTTTGGGTCCCTCCTGGGAGTCGTGAAGGGAACATGGGCCCTCAGCTGCTCGCCCCACACACCGCCTGCCCAGCTTGGGATCCGGGCGCGGGACAGCCTTGGTGCGGCTCCTGGCCTCTGACGACAGCGACAGTTGCGGTGGCCCTGGACGGCCGAGAGAGCACAGGTGGGCCGGCAAGTCCTCTTTCATCCTCTTGCCCTGCCACTCTCCTCTCCCCACGGTACGATGTCTCTGTGCCGCATCCCTTGACCTGCCTGCAGACTCCGTTTCCGATCCTTCAACAGCCTGGTGCCCGAATGGAACCGTCCCACCGTGGTGCGCGCCAGCAGTGCGCGGCCAGCAGTGCCAGCTGGCTAGAGGTGGGGCGCGCTGGTCCCTTGTGCTGACACTACCAATCATGGTAGCATGGGTGGTTCAGTGGTAGAATTCTCGCCTGCCACGCGGGAGGCCCGGGTTCGATTCCCGGCCCATGCAACACACCTGACTTTTGGTCCTGCTGCTAGACACTGCATTCAAAAGCCAAGCCTTCAGGCCCCAACAGCCAGGCCATCACCCTGGTACCTCTTGGATAACTCATTTCACTACAGGGAGTAAATGCCACCTTGCACAACAGACTGACTCTTCATCTTTTACCCCTTTCCTAGCTCCCTGGCTCCATACAAACCCACACTCCCCAAATGGCACTGTGTTGCCGCAGTCACGACCCCCAATGTGGACACTCTTAGCAGGTGCAGACAGAGCATCCACCTGCTGGGTCACAAGGTCAACACCGCGCACAAGGGGGCGCAAAATAATGCCACGGTCTCCTCAACCCACACCCCACCTGCCCTTCATCCTGCCCTGCAGCAACACTTTTCCAGCCCTGGCCGCGGCTCCACCAGTAAAACCTCCACCTGAGAACCGGGAACGACCCCCACCAGCACCAGCAGCAGCCCTGAGTCTGCCAGGACCACCCCAGTCCCTCTGCCACCAACCCCGACAGGCCCAGCCAACCCTACTCAACACCACCTGCAGCATCACCACCTCCACCAGCATCACCAGCTGCCCCCTCTCGTTTGCCCCAAACCAGCTTCCACGGGGACACCCTGCTCTCCTTCTTGCACCTCCCACAGCTCACAGCCCATCCCCGTGTATGGAGTCATCTGGCCCTGTGCCCTCATCCCTCAACCAGCCACACTCTCACCCCCAACAGGTGGACAAGGCCAGCGAGGAGCTGCCTATGGTGACAGACTCGGAGCTCCTGTGCTCGCGATGGGGCCCCTTGGCACCGTGGGCACGGCTGTGGACAAGAGGGGGGTGCTCTCATAACATTCTTGACACTTTGAGGCAGAATGGACAGCGCTGGGGGTGCCACTCCGGCCAGGAGTGCACGGGCCACCCATCTGCCTCCACCTCCTCCCACCTGCTCGGCCGCGGGTGTTCCCGACCGGCCTCCCCTATCTCTCTGCTGTCTGACGTGGGCTGCTGCCGGGGATCCCAGCTCCCCGGACGTGGGGTCCAGATTCCTTCTCACACCTCCGCCTGAGGGGCGCCATGGTCCCGCCCTCCACGCCCATCCCCACCCGAGAGCACCCGCCACTAGGAGGCCTCCATCACCAGCCCACCGGGGACGCAGCTGTCCGGACGCTGCACACGTCAGAAAGCCACCACAGAGGTGGCTGGCCAGAGCCCACACGTAAGGTACCGAGGCTCGGGCAGGCGGCCTGGTTTCCAACACCCCTCGCCTTCCCGCCCCTTCCCGGGACTCCCTGCGGAAGGGTGGGCCTGTCCCTGGCGAGGTTTGCCCTGCCCGACTCCCTGTTGCAGGAGAGTCTGAGCAGGTGCCGTGGCCGACCCGGGGGGGCCTGTACTCCCGCGGCCACCGCGGTGAGACAGGCGGCGCGGGGCGGTCTGATCTGCAGCTGCGGAAGGAGGAAGCGAGAGGAGCTCCCGGGACGTCGGAGGGGAGACCCTGAGGGCCTCCAGGGCCAGCGAGGCCCAAAGGTTTGGAGGCGAGGAGGCGACTGACTGGCAGGGTTGGGGCCGGCGTGCAGGAGCCGGGGGGCCTGAAGGGGGGCTAAAATGCGGGTGAGGAAACGATCTGCAGTTTCGGAAACGGAGAGGGAGAAAAAGCAAAGCTTCCCTGGCCGGGAATCGAACCCGGGCCGCGGCGGTGAGAGCGCCGAATCCTAACCACTAGACCACCAGGGAGCGATGGCTGGCACATCTGGCGTGTGTCCTCGGCTCACAACACCTCCAGGCCACCAACAGCGCTTCCTCCACGCCAGCCCTCTGCCTTTCCCAAGTTCGGTGGCCCAGGGCCCCATCCACCTGTGCGCCCTCTTCCGCATGCAGCACCCTCAATACACCGCGCGCGGAAAAACAGACACACAGACCAATGGAACAAAATTGTGAACCCAGAAATAAACCCAAGAGTTAATGAGCAAATAATTTCAACAAAGGAGCCAAAAATATACAATGGAGAAAAGAAAGCTTCTTCAAAAATGGTGCTGGGAAAACTGGAAAGCCACAATCAAAAGAAAAAAACTAGACCACTGTTTGTCCCCATGTACAAAAATTAACTCAAAATGGATCAACGTCCTAAATACAAGACCTGAAACAATAAATAACACAGAAGAAAACATAGGTATGAAACTGATGGACTTTGGCTTTAGAGAGAATTTTATAAATTTAACCCCAAAGGAAAGGGAAGTAAAAGCAAAAATAAATGAATAGGACCATATGAAACTAAGAAAAAAAAAAAAGCTTCTGCACAGAAAAACAAAAAGGCAACCAACCAAATAGGAGATGATATTTGCAACCAACAGCTCCAACAAGGGGTTAATATCCAAAACGTATAAAGAACTCACACAACTCAACACCGAACACACAATCCAATTAGAAAATGGACAGAGGACCTGAGCAGATGCTTCTTTCAAGAAGACGCTGAAACAGCCAACAGTTATATGAAAAAGATGCTCAGCTTTACTAGCTTTTAGGGAAACACAAATCAAAAGTACAATGAGATGCCATCGAACACCTGTTAGAATGGCCATTATCAACAAAACAAGTAATTACAAGTGCTGGAGAGGTTGTGGAGAGGGAAAAAAAAAAAGCAAAACCTCATTCACTACTGGTAGGAGTCTAAACTGTACAGCCACTATGGAAAACAGTGTGGAGGCTCCTCAAAAAGTAATAATAAACCCAAGAGCTATACCATATGATCCAGCAACCACTCTTCTGGGTAGGTATGGAAAAGTTTTGAAAACATTTATTCACAAAAATATATACAACCCTATGTTCATGGCGGAATCAATCATGGTGGTCAAGACTTGGAAGCAACAGAAGTGTCCCTCCGTAGATAACTGGACAAAGAAGATGAGGTACATATATATACGATAGAATATCCTACTCAGCTATAACAGGAAATGAAATGCTGACAATCCATCCAATTGTGACATGGACGGATTTTAAGAATATCATGCTGAGCAAAATAAGCCAGACAGAAAATGTTAAGAACCATATGATATCGTTCACATGTGGGCTTTAAAACTGAAAGCAACAAATGAACAAATAAGACAAAAACTTACAGGCACAGACAACAGTATGGTGGTTACCAGGAAAAGGGGGGGGTAAAAAAAGAGTAAAGGGAGTCGAATACGTGGTGACGGAAAATGATTTGACCTTGGGTGGTGGGCACACAATGCAATATACAGGGGATGTATCATAGAATCGTACACTTGCAACTTACATAATCTTATTCTCCAATGTCACCCCGACCAATTTAAACTTTTAAAAAACGTGTGTCTCATTCTCCCACACTCACACGCAAACGAGAACCCAGTGCCTAGGGCCCAGCTCTCGCATGAGCACGACGCGCGAGGGCCCTGGAGCCCCCAAAACATCAGCCCACCGCGTTGGCTGGAATCGAAGCCACCGCTGGCAAAGCCCCCTTGCTCACCGCTCTGCCCCCAGCGCTTCGCGGCCCGTTCGCCTGAGAAGGTGGACCCCACTGGGGAAGCTGGGGGGGGGGGGGAGCTGCAGCCCTGCCTGGATGCCGTGCCCCTTTGCTCCGCAGACCTGTGATGCCACGAGCGCCCGCCCACGCCCCCGCCGCCCAGACCCACGCAGCTGCGCTGGCCCGCACGCTTCTCTGGAAGGTTCTCGCTGCCCGGCTGCTCTTGGCCCCTGGGCTCCACGCCCCAGCGGACCCGGAATGAAGTACTAGAAAGGCGGCGCGGGTGGGCGAGTTGCTGGACAGGGACGGGCGGCTGAGCCGGTGACCAAAAGAAACCTTCGCCTCCCCGTCGGGGAATCGAACCCCGGTCTCCCGCGTGACAGGCGGGGATACTCACCACTATACTAACGAGGACGGCCCGGACGACGCTGTCCACCGACGCGCCTGTGAATGGCCGCCGCCGCCTGCCGGAGGCGCGCTCGCTGCACGTGCCGGACCTCTCGTCGAACTGACCAGCTCCTCCGACAAAACAGCGGGCGAGCTCGAGCCCGAAACCGACCCCGCGCCTGTACCCGCCTTCGCCCCAGCAAGGGTGGCGCTGAAAACGCCGGGGGCGCTCTGCCTCCGGCCTCCAACGCGGGCCGCGCCAGGACGAAGAGCCCTGAGAGGGGAAGCGAGGCCGCGAGGGGGAGCAGGTGGGCGCGCGTTGTGTCGCGGCACAGGGGCAAGACAGGCCGTGGGCGCTGCAGCCAGATGAGTCGGCGAGTCCTTGCTCGCCTCGGCCGGTGCGCGTCCTGTCCTTGGGGCACCTGGACAGCCGCCTGACCAGAGCCAGGCCGGGTGACAGCACAGGTGCGCGCGTGCGTTCCCAGCCAGGTGAGCGAGAAGGTCCTCAGTTCCGAGGTCAGACTAGCCGAGCAGTCCGCGCCGCTGCATCCAAGCCGCAGTCTCCCCTGGAGCTGTGGGTTCGAATCCCACGCCTGACAGCTACCTGGCCTTTTGCTCAGGGACACACCCATCGCTTCCCTTCCTTGCCCTCCATTGCATCCCTGGCTAGCAAGCACCCTTGGGGCTCCCGGCCACCTTCTACCCTCGGTTTGCCGCCCACGCGCGCCCTCCCATCTGCAGCCCAAACGGGCAATAAACCCAGGTGCCCACAGCACTTTGGGTCGCTCCTGGACGTCGCTGAAGAGACTGTGGGCGCTCACCTGCTCCGGCCACACGCTGCCTTCCCGGCTAGGGATCCCGTCACGGGTCAGGCTTGGGCCGTCTTCTGACCTCTTCTGGCGACACCGACAGTCTCCCATCGGCCAAGAAAACCCAGGACTGGCCAGACTGAGTCCACCCCCGGCCCTCTGTAGACACGACCCGTCGCGCAGAAGCCCTAAATGCCTGGAGTCTCAGGTGTAGGTGGCCCATCCACCTCCTGCACAAATCCAATAGGTGAAGTCGGGGCCTGTGTCCAATAGGTGGGTCTTCCTGCGATCTGCTAGGGCATGGGTGGTTCAGTGGTAGAATTCTCGCCTGCCACGCGGGAGGCCCGGGTTCGATTCCCGGCCCATACAACCTACATTGTCCTTTTGATCTTCTACTCCCTGCACTTCTGAGCCAAGCCCTCAGGCCCCACCAACCAAGCCATCACCCTGATACCACTTGGGTGACTCATTTCACTACAGGGAGTAAACACCACCTTGCACAATAGGCTGGTTCTCCATCTTTTACCCTTTTCCTGGTTCCGTACAAACCCATACTCCCCAAATGGCACTGTGTTGCCACAGCCGACCCCCACGTATGGAGTCATCTGGCCCTGTGCCCTCATCCCTCAGCCTCAGCCAGCCCAGCCACACTCTCACCCCCAACAGGTGGACAAGGCCGGTGAGGAGCTGCCTATGGTGACAGACTCGGAGCTCCTGTGCTCGCGATGGGGCTCCTGGGCACCGTGGACGCGGCTGTGTGAAAACCCAGTCAGAGAACGTAGCTCTGGCAAGTGGGTGCTGCTGGCCCACCAGCCCTGAGCCTCCGAAGAAAGCAGTGCATTGACAGATGTCAGACTCTTTTGCCAACACGGGGGAGGGAGTTTAGGCGGGAAGGAGACCAAGGCGGGCAAGTCACATGGAGGAGCGCCAGCAGAAGACGGTGGATGCAGGAGTGAGCAGAGGGATGGAAGGCTGGCTGGACGTGCACGGTATGGCAGGACGGGTGTGAAATGGACGGTGGTAGGAGTTAGGTCTCCATGGTCCTGTGTGGGGCTCTGGTGGGCAGGGGCCCAGGAAGGTGTCTTATAACATTTTGGGGTAGGTTAGACAGTGTTGGCGGTGCAAGTTGAACAAGATGATGTCCAGGAGTCCACGGGTCACCCATCTGCCTCCACCTCCTCCCACCTGCTTGGCTTCAGGATGTTACCGACCCGCCTCTCCTATCTCTGCTTTCTGACGTTTGCTGCTGTCCGGTGGTCCAGCTCCCGCGACGTTGTGTCCAGATTTCTTTCCACATCTCCGCCTCCAGGGCACCACATCCCGAGATCCATTCCCACCCCCACCCGGGGACACTCCATGTCCCTGGGACACCATCACCAGCCGACGGGAGAAGCAGCTGGTCCGCCAATGGCATGCTGCAGGAAAGCCACAGAAGCGAAGGCTGATGGCAAGCGTCTCCAGGAGAGGCACTGCGTGCTCCGCCAGGTGTCCCGACGTGCAGGTGTAGGTGTCCTTTCCCTTCCAACCCACCTTCCGGGACTCACTTCCGAAGGGGTAGCCTGACCTCTGCGACGTTTGTCCCCGCCGACTCTGTCCTTATGGAGAGTTGGAGCACGTGAGGTGGCCGTGGCGGGGAAACGAGCCGCACTGGGGCCCTCGGGTTTGGGGCTGCAAAACCGGGTGAGCGAGGACAAAGGATGGGAGGGGAGGCGGTTGCCTGGCAGTGCTGGGGCCGAAATTGTAGGGAGCCAAAGGGCTTCCGCAGGTGCAGGGGCCAGGAGAAGGTACAGAGCGTTGGTTAAAAGAAGAGTGTGCACATTCGGGGGCGGTTTAGAAAACGAAGGGGGAGAAAAAAGAGCGTTCCCTGACCGGGAATCGAACCCGGGCCGCGGCGGTGAGAGCGCCGAATCCTAACCACTAGACCACCAGGGACTGGCGAACGATGTGTCTGGCTTACTGCTCTTCTTGCAAACAGGGCCCCGAGGACACCTGGCAGTAGCACCAGCCTTTTCGAGTACAGCCACCCCTTGCTTGTTCCCACTCAGGAGACATCGACCCTCTCCTGCCTGTGGCACCCTCAAAACGCTACACGCCCACTCTTCCCACTCTAGTACGCAGCCGCGGGCCCCGCATCTGGGGCCCAAGTCGCAGGTCCCAGGGTCCAGTAGCTCCTGAATACACACGGGGCCCAAAGGCCCTGGAGTTCAGCAAAAATACCAGCCCTTTGCGTTGGCCGGGAATCGAACCCGGGTCAACTGCTTGGAAGGCAGCTATGCTCACCACTATACCACCAACGCAGCACGGCCAACCTTTCCGTGGGTACTCCTCTGTACTTCCGCTATCGCCGCCACCGGCTCGAACCCTCTCCGATGATTCTCTCGCTTGCCCGCAGCCACGCGCCGCCCTGGGTGTCACGGACGAACGTTCCGGCGCCCCACCCGCGCCGGGCCCACGCAGGTGGCCTCTCTGGGGCGCTCTCGCTGTTCGGCTGCTACCGGTCCCACAGCTCCACGCTGGGGCCGCCCCTGGGTCGCGGGTCTCCAGTCCCCCTTCCGCGGGATTGCCACAGGCTTCCTCCACTGGGTGCCACTGTCCTCGGCGACAGGGCGCTCAGCCGCCTGCCGCCAGCCGGGGGCTGCGGTGAGTCGTGTCCCTGGGAGCCCATTCCACCAGCCACTTGGGCAGGCCTGGAGACAGGCGCTGCGGTGGCGGGAAAGGACTTCGCTGAGCTGTGGGAGTATAGTGCCCTGAAGGAGGAAGGGTGGGGGAAGGGTTTGTTGGGGAACATCTGGCACAAACTGGACCCCGGGCTCCCACACAGGGCAGAAGGGCGAAAAGAGGGGCCCATGCGGGCAAGGTGCTGGACAGAGGGCGGAGCTTACGACCAAAAGGTCCCGTGGTATTCCCATGCAGGAATCGACCCCAGACCTCCGGGGTGCCAGGCAGGGACGCTCACCACCACACTAACAAACACCGCCGCGCAGGTGCTGGCGCCTCGCCACCCCGTGCATTGAAGTCGCCCAGCAGGTGCACCACCCAGTATCGAACCCACCACGTCCTCCAACAAAGCTGCCAGCGAGAGCGAGCCTGAGAGCCTGAGAGCCTGAGAGCCTGAGACCGCCCCGCGCCGGTCCCCGCCCCCACCCCAGCAAAGGTAGCGCTGAAAACGCCGAGGGCGCTCTGCCTCTGGCCTCCAATGCGGGGGCGACTTCACGACCAAGAGGATTGGGAGAGCAAGCGGGTCCGCCGGGAGTAGCAGGTGGGCGCGCATCGTGCCGCGGCGCAGGATGGAAGAGAGCACGCGGGCACCGGGGACAGCCTCCTGACCAGAGCGACGGGGTCGATAGCGCCGGCGTTCACCTCCGATCCCAGACGGGTGAGCCGGGACACTCCCAACGTGGGGTCAGGATGGCCGAGCGGTCTAAGGCGCTGCGTTCAGGTCGCAGTCTCCCCTGGAGGCGTGGGTTCGAATCCCACTCCTGACAACTGGTTACCCTTTTGCTTGTTCCTGACTCGTCACTACACTCGTTGCAGCCATTTCTGGCCTCCCAGTTCGCTCCTGGGTGACACCATTGGGTTCTCTGCAACCTCCCGCCTCCACCTTCCACCCTCGGTTCTCCGCCAGGCACGCTAGGGACTTGGGGCTGCACCTGGGGTCGTTGAAGGGAACTTGGATGCTCAGCTGCTTCCTCCACACATGGCCTAGCCTGCTTGGGATCTGGGTGCCGGCCAGGCTTAGCCCAGCTTCTGGCCTTCCCAGGCGACACTGCCAGACTCAAGGGGGCCCTGGCAGGCCGAGAAGGGGCAGAGTCCTCTTCCGTCTTCCTCTCCCTTCCTACTCTCTGGGCCGGCCTTAGAACCTTTGAATGCAGGGAACCTGTTTCATATCTCGTGTCTGCCTCCCGCACAAATGAAAGGACTCTCGGAGGAGAATAGTGGAGTGAACCTACAAATCTACATTGTTGATGCATGGGTGGTTCAGTGGTAGAATTCTCGCCTGCCACGCGGGAGGCCCGGGTTCGATTCCCGGCCCATGCAACCCACCTGACTTTTGGTCCTGCCGCTAGACACCGCATTCAAAAGCCAAGCCTTCAGGCCCCAACAGCCAGGCCATCACCCTGGTACCTCTTGGATAACTCATTTCACTACGGGGAGTAAATGCCACCTTGCACAACAGACTGACTCTTCATCTTTTACCCCCTTTCCTAGCTCCCTGGCTCCGTACAAACCCACACTCCCCAAATGGCACTGTGTTGCCACAGTCACGACCCCCAATGTGGACCCTCTTAGCAGGTGCAGACAGAGCATCCACCTGCTGGGTCACAAGGTCAACACCGCGCACAAGGGGGCGCAAAATAATGCCACGGTCTCCTCAACCCACACCCCACCTGCCCTTCATCCTGCCCTGCAGCAACACTTTTCCAGCCCTGGCCGCGGCTCCACCAGTAAAACCTCCACCCTGAGAACCGGGAACGACCCCCACCAGCACCAGCAGCAGCCCCGAGTCTGCCAGGACCACCCCAGTCCCTCTGCCACCAACCCCGGCAGGCCCAGCCAACCCTACTCAACACCACCTGCAGCATCACCACCTCCACCAGCATCACCAGCTGCCCCCTCTCGTTTGCCCCAAACCAGCTTCCATGGGGACACCCTGCCCTCCTTCTTGCACCTCCCACAGCTCACAGCCCATCCCCGTGTATGGAGTCATCTGGCCCTGTGCCCTCATCCCTCAGCCTCAGCCAACCACACTCTCACCCCCAACAGGTGGACAAGGCCGGTGAGGAGCTGCCTATGGTGACAGACTCGGAGCTCCTGTGCTCGCGATGGGGCTCCTTGGCACCGTGGACACGGCTGTGGACAAGAGGGGGGTGCTCTCATAACATTCTTGACACTTTGAGGCAGAATGGACAGCGCTGGGGGTGCCACTCCGGCCAGGAGTGCACGGGCCACCCATCTGCCTCCACCTCCTCCCACCTGCTCGGCCGCGGGTGTTCCCGACCGGCCTCCCCTATCTCTCTGCTGTCTGACGTGGGCTGCAGCCGGGGATCCCAGCTCCCCGGACGTGGGGTCCAGGTTCCTTCTCACACCTCCGCCTGAGGGGCGCCATGGTC